ATGGTAAGGTCTCCTTCTCCAAGCCAGCTTTCACTGACATTGACATTTGTCTCTGGTTATTCCCCACAGCTGAGGACTGGAATCTTGTTTCCCATCACGGAATGTAGTCACTCGTCCACTTGGAGTGGTCCCGGTCCCCACCCTTTGAGTTGACAAGACTTAGGGTGACCTGACCTATCACTCAACCCTCGTTTTGTCTCGAAAACAGAGTTTGCAAACAGCTAGCCTTTGGGTCTGTCTCATCTTTCTCTCGTGTCTTAGGCCATGGTAAATACTAGCTGTCCAACCTCACCGCAGGTATGTCTTTTACAGACCCTAAAACCTCTGCCTTACTTACAGATTTCTAACATTACCTGCCTTTGCACTAACAAATGGCCTACATATCCCTTAAAATAACAACCTAATCTGGGAGCTTTCTAATTTCTATCAGCAAACAGACAGATTAGAAAGTTTCTATCCAGTCATGCTAAACTATGTCCCGCCCGCATCTCACGCCCATACGCTTTTCCTTTTGCTAGGCAATACCCCACCCACCCACCTGTAAATGCTCCATTTCTCAATCCTATTCCTTTTCTCACTCCTATTCTGTCTCTGTCACTGCTACCGCTGGTCCCACAGGAACCGGCAAAACTGGCTAGAACCACAGGTGGCTATTCCAGTCCCAGGCCTCACTGCCTGTGGTGGCTGGTGGCACTGAATAATTTTCCTGTCTACTTCATGTTATAAAAGAATGTAAGAATGGTGTGGCCACACAGATATGATTCTGTTTTAAATGTATGTCCTACACGTCCTCTATGTCTTTCTTGTTATTTGTATCTGTTGAAAAATGCTGCTGCAGCTCTGAAAATGTGGTTTCTCTGTGCAACACGTGACTGCTGCCATCTAGAATAAGAGCAAGGAGGGCAGGTCAAATGACCTCACCACCATCTTGACTAAGGGCAGGGCAGGTAACCAAGTCATCATTTTTACTGAGGTAATCCTTGCCTAGTCTCACCATTTACTTATGGTTTTTGCTTCTAAATTCCTCTTACTACCTCTGTTACATGCGCGTTTTGAGCAGCATCATGCTTTCGGTAGGGCCCACCAGAGCATTCACTTCACCCAACTCCTGTTACCATGTGTGTGTGCATGCATGTGACTTTTGAATTAACTTTATGTGTGAACATAAGTTGGTTTTAACTCTGTGTATATATATATATATATATATATGTATGAAACTTAAATTCAACCTTGTATATTTGTACATGTACTTACTGTTAAAAACGTTTTAAGTAGTCCCAGTCCTCTGTTCATTGAATCTTATTCCAGATTAAGAAAGCAGTAAGTATTAAGTATTTTGAATTGGTATGTACTTTTAAACTTGTTACAACATACAATATATGTAATCCAACTCTGCTTTAAAATATATTCTATATAATGATAAAAATTTAAGGTTACAGCCGGGTGGTAGTGGCACATGCCTTTAATCCCAGCACTCTGGAGGCAGAGGCAGGGGGATCTCTGTGAATTCAAGGCCAGCCTGGTCTACAAGAGCTAGTTCCAGGACAGGCTCTAAAACTATGGTGAAACCCTGTCTCAAAAAAAAAAAAAAATTAAGGTTATAAAAATCTATTTCAGATTAACAAAAGCTAACCTATATCCTTTCCTATAGATATACTCCACTATTGTCAGTTTTACAGTTAAGCTTCTATTGTAAACAGATTTTTCTTCTTTGTCTTTCACAAGTATAAATCTCACCTGCTAAGTTGAAAACCAGTACAGTCAAACTTGGACTCGGCTCTCCAGGCAGATTCTATTCTGTATTTATAACTTATCTATGCCTGATAAATAGCCCTCAAGTATTTAGAGATCTGGGGAATATGGTATTTAAATGTCTAATTATTAAAAGACTTTATAACAGAGAGACAGATTGGCTCCTAGATTGGCACACCATCTCCTCCAAAGAGGATAAAGACAGATGGGCACAGAATTGGCACAGAAACACATCCATCTGTAATTTGCTTCATCATGTGAAAGCGCTAACCACTGACGAAAACTGTCTTTCATCTAAACTCCTGAAGCTCTCCAGACAGTGGATGAAGAAGAAGTGGAATCGACAGCTTAGCTGCTCATGGCGAGGTAGGCTTGCCTTCCTACGGATTTCCTAACTCACAGGATCTTCTAAAACCAGGAAGGCCCTGCTTCTAAAAACAGAAGGCAAATACAGTCCTGATGTCTCTGCCCTCAACAACCATGGAGGACCCTGAGGAGTGGCTCTAGGTAGGCAATCGGGTAAGTTCTCTGCCATTTTTTAAAATCAATTATTCAAGTAAAATTTTATACTTCTCAAAGATCTCTAATGCAGTTTGACAGCTGAGAGGTTTTGCCGTTTAAAAAGGACAACCTCACCAAACAAATTTCAGTATAACTTCTTACCATGTTCTAAATAAAGGGTGTTTTAAGATATACAAATGCAAGTTATTAAGGTGTGTACCTGAAAGTTATAAAGGTCTGAGGACAAATGCAAGTTATCAAATTTCTCTCTCATGTTGCCGCTCATAGTCTTAATAAAATGCCAATACACTATTAATCTACTACCACTACTGCAAGATCGAGATTTTTGATCTTTGGACATTTTCTAAAATACTTTCCATTGTACAAACACATCTGTCATAGTTATTCTGGCATAAATATGCTGCTGCTTATACAATGTATGTATCTAATGTATGTTTTACAAACTCAAAGAATTCTTGTGAGTTCCAAGGAGCCAAATTGAAGGATTCACCTTAAACACATCAGACACAGCTCTCTCAATTCCCAAGTCCTGGCAAACCCCTCAATTACCAAGACCTAAAGAAAATTTTTTTCTTCCTAAACTTAATTTGTCCTCTGTTCTGCCAACACCTTGCCAAGTCCAAGAGACACCAGACAGTTCCACCACAAATCCTGAACAGAAGTGAAGGAACCAGCCACCCCAGAACATGACCCTCTTCCTCGATAACCAGGACGTGACCTGTACCCAGCTTTCTCAGGTACCCCAAGACTCCAACATCCACAGATAAGCAAGAAGTAGTCTTGAGAGCCCAATGCCCTCATCCCCTTAACCTATCATGCCTAACTCTTTGCCTTTTTATTATAAGAAAAAGGTAGGAAGTTGTAATCTGCTGGCCTGGTTTGTCACCTGGGTACCCTGTCCCTTTAAGAGACATGTCCCAATCTCCCTCTCCTTCCCTCCCCCAGGCAAGCAGATCTCCCTCCTCCATTCCATATCTCTTTCTCTCTCTCCATCCTTCTTTTCAAGAGGCAGCTTCTTCCTCTCTCCCTCCTCCCTTTCCCCCTTCTTTCTTCTCTTTCTCTCTCTCTTCCTCTTTTTGTCTGTCTCTGTTCCCCCCCTCTCTCTCTACTTCCCCTCCCCCTTATTAACCCCTTTCTCTTATACCATTCCCAATACCCCCTAAATAAACTCTATATCCATAGTCTCTCTGCATGGCATATCTGTCTATCTCCCACCTTCATGGCCTTGGGTCACCAGAATCATGAATGATAACAGACGGTAGAAAGGGAAAAGGGAAAATTGGAGTAACAGAAATGTCAATATAATCGAAGTATATTAAATGCATAATGGAAATGTCACAAAGCCCCATCTGTTATACAACTGACAGACTATTTCAAAAAGAACTTTCAGTCTGGGGAAATGACTGAGTAAGTAAGAGTGCCTGTGATGCAGGCATGGGGATCCAAGTTTGAGTCCACAACATTCATGTAAAAAGTAGGTGTGGTATCTCCTGTAATCAGATTGATAGCCACCCCAATTGTCACCAGATAGCCTCCATCTGACTGGCGAAAACAGATGCAGAGATCCATAGCTGAGCTCGGAGAATTCTGTCGAAAAGAGGGATGAAGGATTGTACAAGCCAGGAGGGTCAAGGTGTTCAAAAGGGAACCCACAGACACAACTAACCTGGGTTCATAGGAGCTCACAGACTCTGGACCAGCAAGGACTGACCTAGACCTTCTATATATGTGTGGCAGTTGTGTAGCTTGGTCTACTTGTGGGAGTCCTAGTGGTGGGAGTGGGGCTGCCCCTAACTCTTTGGCTGGCTTCCAGAAACCTATTCTTCATACTGAGTTGCCTTGCCCAGCCTTAATACAATGGGAGGAGCTTAGTCCTACCTCACCTTGATATGCCAAGCTTTGACGACACCCATGGGAGACCTGCCTCTTTCTGAACAAAAACAGAGGAGTGGATTAGGGAGAGTTGGGGAGGAAGGGGGAAGAGAATGAGAGGAGAGGAAGTAGGGGAAACTGCAATCAGGATGTAGAATAAATGAATACATTTAATTAGTAATTTTAAAAGGCAGGCATGGATGAACATGCCTGCACCACTAGCACTGGAGAGCAGAGACAGGTGGATCCTACAGTCAGCCTAGCCAAAATTGTATGCTTTAGACTCAGTACAAAGCCATATCTCACAGCAATAATGTAGGACCAACAGAGGACACTTGATAGCTGCCTTGCTCTGGTCACCGCAGGCCTCCACAGAAATATGCACAGCCCAACACCCTCACATGCAGCAGTAAATCTGAGAGTGAGTCTGTGAAGGTGTTTACAGAGACATTTAAATGAGATGAGAAGACAGAAGACACACCCTAATGTGATCACACCATTCCCCAGGCTGCACCCAGATGATGCTTAGCTGAGCACCAGCACACCTCCCTCTCTGCTTCACAAAGTGCCCTTAATGCCATGACAGACAAGGCTTTTAAGCTGAGAACCAAGGGAAACCTTTCCTTTGTTCAGTTGCTTTTGTCAGGTATTTTGTTACACCAAGAAAAGTAAAAATACATCAGTGCACAACCAATCCATATACTGAAATATCACAGCATACAACATAAAATACAATCTGTCCATTTAAGAAATGGAAAACAAAAGATAGCAAGCATTTGGTATCTGGAGGAAGATGCTCTCATTCTGATATGAGAAAACATGGTACACCTCCCATCCCCACACACAACACTTACCAAGTGGACCCGGAGACCCCTGCGAGGTATGTGATAGCATCCAACAGGCCAAGTTCTTTCATCTCACTCAGTACCCCAAGACAAGCGATGTGGGCCCGCAGCCCCCCACCAGAGCCCAGGACAGCAATGACTGGAGCCTGGGCATTAGAGGAAGAACAATTAGAGTCAGTAGATAATGCGAGGAAAAGCGGGCATCCAAGGACCTGCCTGGGTAGGGTGGCATCTGTCCCATGTCGATTCTCTGGCAGAGTAAGTTCATATCTGTTTACCCACCCTTCCTGCTCATCCTGGATGAGCTGAGCTGCAGAGCCTGGGGACAGCGGAAGCAATCCCACCAGTATGAAGCCTCACTTGCACTTACCTGGTCAGCCTGGATATTCAGCTTTTGCAGAGCCTCCAACACCTTGGAGCTGCGTTTGTTCACAGCCGCCTTCTCTTCTTTCTGGAGTCCAGTGGCAAAGTAAACACCAGAGCTTCCCAGGACAAAGAGGAAAAATAGGAACTGTCAGAAATTTTGCAGTAAGTAAACAAAGAAATTTCCTAGAGTTCTGTCCTCCAAAGAACTATCTACCAGCTGCAGGTTGCTCAGGAGCAAAGGTGATCAAGGGTTCTGAGTTTAGTTTATCAAATAGTGAAAACATAAACTAAAGTGCAGCCAAGAGCCAGCCAAGATGGCTCTGAAGGTAAAGGTGCCTGCCAACAAGTCTGATGAGCTGAACATACAATAAAGGAAGAGAACTGACTACCCCAAGTTGTCTTCTGACCTACACGTGCTGTGGCATGTGTGTGCAAGCATATGTGCATGAATGCATTCAAAAACATTTGTACAAATAAATGAATAAATAAATGAACATAATTGCATTGAGAGGGCTGGATCCTTGGCTCAGCAAATAAGAATGCTTGCTGCTAATAGTCTGGAACTGGAAACAACCTAGATGTCCTTCAACCAAAGAATGGATTAAGGAAAAGTGGCCCATGTCCATAATGGAGAATTATTCAGCAATTTTTAAAAAATGGCATCATAAAATCTGCAGACAAATGGATAGAACTAGAAAAAAATCATCCTGAAGGAAGTAACACAGACCCAGAAAGATGAACATGATATGTACTCACTTATCAGTAAATATTAGCTGTTAAGGATATTCACACTACAACCCACAGTCCCAGAGAGGCTAAGTGTAGGGCCCATGGGTCTACCCCTGCTCCCAGAGTTCATCTTGATGACAGTTTCTGGCCAGCCAGCTAAACATCCTATTTGTTCCTGTGCTCCCTCTGCCTCACCTGGTGGTTAGCTATAGGGCCACTGTTTAGTCCACCTTGGGCATGGTAATTTCCCACCTGCCTGGGGGTATTCCACTGTGCAGCAGCTAGGTATTTAAGGCTTTTCCTAAATTTGAATAAACAGCATTCGGCTGATCTTTCAAATGACCCAGTCTCTTATGTGTTCTTTAAAACTCCAGGCCCTTGCCTGGCTCACAAATTGTACCGAGAGTAACACAGGCATTACAGCTAAGTTAAAAGTTGGTCTTGGGGGCGGGGGGATTGCATGGATCTCCCTGGGAAGCGGAAATAGAATAGATTTTGTGGGTGGTGGGAACAGGTAGGAATGGGAACAGGTAGAATCAGGTTGGGATGGACAAGGGGAGAGAATACAGGGAGAGACTGCTGGACCTGGGGGGCATTTGGAGGCAATTTGGGAACCCAGTGCAGTGGAAACTTCCTAGAATCTATGAGACTGACACTAGTGAAGACTCCTGGTAATGGAAGACATAGAGCTTGAACTGACCATCTTCTGTAACCAAGCAAGGCTTCAAGTGATGGGACTGGGACAGCAACCCAGTCACAAAACCTTCAATCTACAACCTGTCCTGCCTACAAGATATGCTGGGCGATGGTGGCTCAGAATTTGTGGTCTAACTTGAGGCCCTAACCACGGGAGGGAGACCATGGCTGACACCTCCTGGATGGCTAGGAACCATAGACTGAATAGCTCAGAGACCTAGGATAAAACTAAACATGTCTGGGAAAAAAAAAGTCAATGAAATGATTCCTAATTCTGCTATATTCGTAGATTGCTGCGTAGCCCAGTCTTCATCAGAGAGGTTTCCTCCAGAAGCTGATGGGAGCAGATGCAAAGATCCATAATCAAACATTAGGTGGAGCTCAGGGAACCCTGAGGGAAAAGAAGAATCGTAGGAGCCAGAGAGGTTGAGGATACCCAGAGAACATTGCCTACAGAATTGACTGAGCAGAGTTCACACAGGCTCACAGAGACTGAGGTGGCAATCACAGAACCTGCATGGGTCTGTGCTAGGCCTTCTGCATATATGTTGTGTTTGCTTAGTTTGAGGGGTTTTTTTTTGGGGGGGGGGAACTCCTAACAGTGGGAGTGGGGCTGGCTCTGACTCTTTGGTCTGCTCTTGGTATCCTTTTCCTCCTACCGGGTTGCCTTGTCCAGCCTCAAAATGAGGGTTAGTGTCTAGTCTTAATGCCTCTTGTTATGCTATGTTCAGTTGCTATCCCTGGGAGGCTGCTCTTTTTAAAAGGAAACTGAGAAGAAATGGATCTGGGGAGATGGGAAGTAGTGAGGGGACTGGGAGGGGTAGAGGGAGGGGAAACTGCAGTTGGGATATACTGCATGAGGATGAGAGAAGAAGAAAAAGAAAAGACCGCTTGCTGTTCTTCCAGAGGACCCAAGCTCAGGCCCCAGCACCTGTATCAGGCAGCTCACAACTGCTTATAACTCCAGATCCAGAGGACCCAACACCCTCTTCAAGCATTCAAACTTATATATAAATAAAAATAAATCTTAAAAGAAAATTCAAAGAACATACAATATCTTAGCAAGAAATTTTGTCATGACTTGTTAAAATGCCAGAATTCAGGATATAACAACTACAAACACCTGGTGCCCTCAATATTTTCAGGGTCAGCATATGCAAATTCAGTGACCCTCTGAGAAACTTACTGCTCCATTAAAAAGGCACAGACACTTTCCAGCTACTCTCTGCAGAAAAAGACAGTGGATCACCTGCTCCCACAGAACTGCTCTTACTCGGAACTGAAAGCCAAGAAGATGCGTGGGTCTCCTCAGATACCACAATGTCTTCCATAAGAGAACAGGACACCTGGGAGTATAGGTGTCTGCAGAAGGGCTAGTGCTGGTCTAGGATCAACACTCCATGGATACTGAAGAGTGGTTGCACTTTATAACAGCATGGTAGAAAACAGTTCAGTGGTTCTCAGAAATGCTGCACAGAAAAGCTGGCATGGTGGCTTATGCCTGTAATCCTAGCACTTAAAAAATTGACATAAGAGGATGTTGATTGGGGATCGAGGCCTCACAGTGATCCTTGATCTCAAAAAGGCAAAAGAGAGGTGGGGAGATGACTTATTCAGTAAAATGCTTGCTGGGCAAGAAGATTTGAGTTCAATCTCTAGCATCCAAGTAACAAAGCAGTGTGTGCCTGTAACCACACCTCTGGGGAGGTGAGGATAGGACAAACCCAGGGACTTGCTAGCCATCTGATCTACCTAAATCTATGAGCAACAGATTTGGTGTGAGACTCTATCTCAAAAAATAAGGTGAAGAGCAACTGAGAAAGACATCTGATGTCAAGTTCTGAGCTGCACACATACATAAGCAGCAAACAAACAACTGCAATATGATCCAGAAATTTCAGTCCTAGGTATATAATCCAAGTAATTCAAAACAGGTATTCTAACAAAACCTTGAAAACCAACCTACAAGTTGTTCATAATAACTAACAGGCAGAACCAACCCATTGTCATCAAGTGATGAACACCTGAACAAAATGTGATCTAGTTGAGTGATGGTTTGTCACTCAGTAATCAAAAGTTTCCTGTACATTCTACATTGTAGGTGGACCTTACAAAGGAAATTCTCAGTGACAGAGACAAATGCAAAGGTCGTATCTTATATGACCACCCTACATCAAGAATAGGATCTAACACACAGTGATAGGAAGCAGGTCAGTAGCTGCCAGGGACTGGAGAGGGGGAGAAGTGGAAGAGAGGCTTAGTGTGGTAGGAGGCTTCTTTTGGGGTTCTAAAAATATTCTGAAATTAGACAGAGGTGACACTTGAACTTCCCTGAAAATGTGATAATTGCTACTGATTTGCTTACTTTTAAATGATCAAGATGGTAAATTTATGTGTTTTACCCCAATAAAAAAATTAAGTAGTTAAGAAACTAAACTTCACCTGTTTGGGGGGCATCACTATGATAGCACTCGCCTTCAAGTCTCATGATCTGAGTTTGATTCCTCAAACCCACATGGTAGAAGGAAATGGCTCCCATAAATTGTCTTTGACTTCTACATATAAGCTGTACCACATGCATACCCTTCATGTACACGCTAAATAAATGAATGTGATAAAGACATTAAAATTTAAATTTTACCCGTGACTCACCGTTTATGTCTACTGGACGGTTGTGACTTGGGAGACTCTTCAGGGTTCATCTTCCCAAATTCTTCAACTACTTTCAATATTGCTTCATTCTGTGGCGCAGTCACGTCCCACTTTGTAGTGAGTTAATGGAGTGCAAAGGTCAGTATTGGTTCTAGTTGTGGAAAGAACCTAGATGAGTATTCTTTAAGGCAGATCAGTTGATCATTACAACCTTACTTTGTAGTGATTATCTGATAAATGTCATGTCATGCATTGAATTCAAATAGTCATTTTAAAAAATTGAAGTTAGGCACAGAAAAGAATATTTGGGTCCTGGTTGAAAGCCTATTAGAAGGTTCTCTGGCTTTGAACCAGATATTTTTGTCTCTTCAGCCATTGGTTCCTCAGCCCAGGAGGGCAGTGATTCACTCAAAGTGAGGTTATTGATATGGCTGCTGATAGGATGGGGCTAAGCTGGAGGACAAAGGCATATCATGAACATACTACCTTCCTGGAGGACGGTCCACACTGTGTCTCCTACCCTACACCCCACCCTTAACTTGGAGATTCAGAAGGCCAGACTCCTTGGTGGACACTGAGGAGGCTCCCTGTTGACTACACCCCAACCATTTAAGAACAGTGGGTTCTAGGGCTAGTCGTAACTCCTGACCTGCCCTTGCCCTGCTCCAATCTAGAAATTCCTCACTTCAGAAATGGCTTAGATGTTTTAAGTCCTTGTAGAGTTTGCTAGAAGATGGACTGAGAAGCTGGACACCTGTACCTCTCCAGCTTCCCCATACACATCCATCCCCAAAGTCTCCTCTATCCTGGGGGATTTGGAAAGAGCCAAATTGCATCAGAAAAAATTAGCTCTGGGGAAAGAAACTACCAGTTGAGAGTTGCTATTGCCAGTGACTTTCAGTGCTGATATGATTCACAAGTTCAACACAAGACTGGCTTTTTATTTCAATTTCCTGGGGTTGCTTTTATTCTATTTATCAATTGCTCCATCCCTGTACTACCTGAATTTCTCGATCAATTTAGCTGGTAACTGCTGTCCCTAGCAAGGACCCAGCACCCTTACTATCAGGGTGTCAAAGAACAAACATCTTCAGTGACACAAACACATATAAGAGGAAGTTTGGTTAAAGAAATATTTTGATACTTACAACCCTGGGGAATCTCCGCAGGCCTCCAGCACAGAGGAAAGATAGACAGGAGAGAGTGGCAACCAGCAATATATACTGGGGGCTAGGTCTGGGGTTGCTTCAAGTTATCAGTTCAAGGAAACCCAGTCTGTAGAGGGAGAGAAGGGTGCTTTCTAACTTTTATCTGTGTTGCAAGCTGGCACCCAGTGGGTGTGGTAAAGAAGTACCGGGAAACTGTATCAAAAGAGACCTACTTGGAAATGTTGTTTTTGGGATTTAAGTTAAACATTAAAGATGGGTAGCTGTATAAGCACTCACACTGAAGCTATATTTTTTAAATGAGGTTTTTATATTCAATTGCTTTAAAGAGATCACAGGTTCTCCCGCTTCTACCCCTAATATCGCTGATTTTTCAAGGCAGTATTGCACATGTATTCAGGTTTTATTAGAGCTTTCAATTTCCCAACCCAACTTTTCTGGGATAATAAAAACTTATGTGAAGTGGAAATGTGGTGTTATCTGTGTTATAGTTTCCACCATAACTGAGATTACACTTTCTATTAATAAATTTTGTTCTTTTAGACATGACAAGGAAACTGCAACTCATGAAATTTCAATGAAATGGTTGTCCAAACAAGACCTGTAAAATGAAAACTCTAGATGACATGTAAACATGGGTGGGGAAAAATCTCACATGGCCCCACCCCTATATGAAGAACTACTGGCAATTAATGACTGCTGAGAGAGGGAAAGGCAGTCTTCTCAAAGGATGTGCCAAATAGGTTATCAAATCTGAAGTGGTCACCAGAAGCACATGTACATACAAGCAATATTAAATAGACTCACTATGGGTGTGGGTGTGTGATTTATGTGAGCATTAAAGAAGAGGTTAAGTATTTGAGGGAGAGATGCAGCAGGAATTAGAGTGAGGAGATGGGAGAGATAGGAATGATGTAAATATAATATTTATACAAAATTCTCATAAAAAATTTTAAAAGTCCCTAATAGGTTGACTATGCTCCAGTGGCAGTCCACAAATCCATGAACATATGAGCAACACAAATGGGACTTGATGGGTGGGGAAATTAAGGAGGACACAAAGTTGGATGGATAGGGAAAGGAAGATGGATCTGGGAGGAATTGAAGAAGGGTGAATGTGGTCAAAACATACTGTACAAAATTCTCAAAGAATAAAAGTTTTAAAAACTAGGTTTTGCTCTTTGACAATTCCATACATGCATATAATGTGTTCTGGATCCATTTCCCCATTCTCTCTTCCTTTCCACCCATGCCATCTCCCTTTATTCCTTACAAATCTCCTTCCCATATTTACTAGTTTTTGTCTTTAGTGTCAGCTATTGGGGGGAAGTGGCTCACCAGACCCTACCACTTACTCTTCATCTATTGGCAACTAACAGATTCTGGAAGAAAGGATGTCACAGTACCCACTGCATACACACTGGTGAATACCCCAGGCTCTGACAGGTCCCAACTCAGGGACACATGGACAGTCCTAGCTTAACTCTGTGAAGCTGTACCTGATTTTACCCTTCTATCCTCTCCTCTCCTCCTCTCTGTTGATGTGGCCACCATTAAATATCTAACCATTTCATTCTCTTGTGTTCTCTCTTCCTCCCCTTTCTCGCTCCATTCTTTCCTCTTTGGTCTTCTTAATGCCTTACTCCTTACAGTCATTTTCTCGGTAGTACTCTCAGCATCTACCCTGTTCCTCCTTTTTTACTTCTTTCTCCCATCTCTGTTCTGTACTCAGTAGAACCCTAAGAAAAATACAGGCCTGAGACCAAATGCTGACTCCAGTAAACCAGAGATAAACCTCAAGTCCCTACCTCTTATGGTTTCCAGGCAAAATGTCACCACAGGCTCATATTTTTCAATATCTAGTCCCCAGTTTATGCCACTGTTTTAAAAGCGTGTGGAACTTTTAGAACACAGACCTAGCTGGAGGATGTAGGACCACTATGGTGGGCCTTCCACATTGGAGGCCAGCATCCCTTCTGGTTTAACTCTATGCTTCATGGAAAGATTAACTCTATGCTTCATGAATCTATTCTCAGTGAATTCCAGTCCCTATAACAAGGTCCCAGCACCATGCCTTCCCTATCATGGTGGGTACCTATCCTTAAACAGTGGGTCAAAGGAAATGCTCTCTTCCTTAAGTGGCTCCTTTCAGGTGTTCTGCCACAGGTATGAGAAATAGTCTTTGAGTTCAGCTCCCTTGTCTTGACAGTAGGCAAACGACTGTGATGCTCAAATGACAAATGTGGAGGTTGTCCCAGAACACAGCAGCACACTGAGATTGCCTCCTACCCCACTGCTCCAATCTCTCCTGTTCACTTACCCCCTTCTTTTATTTCTCTTCCTTTTGCCTCCTTATGCTTGGCCAAACACAGCACCTACCTAGGTGACTTGTAATAGTCTGTGTTTGCAGAACAATGTTACTTCCCATTAATTTCTGCAGAAAATGGTTACTTAAATCACCTGGGTCACAGGGCCATTGCCTATAGATAAGGACGTTACCCCATTAATTCTGCAGAAAATGGTTACTTAACTTGCCAGAAAGATCATTGTCTTTAAAATGGGGACATTACTTCCTTTGATTTTTCAAGAAAATACTTAACTAACAAAGGTCTTAAGGTTCTTATCTGTAAATTATAGGCAACAGCATCTGTCTTGTAGTGTGTTTACATGAGACATGAGTATAATCACTTACAACCTACCTTACACACAGTAAGCAACATCTATATGTAAATTATTAATCTTATCAGTTGTTACCAGGTGGTGGTAAAAGCCAAACATGAAAAAGGAATGGTGAGAAATTCCCTAGTTCTATTCTTTGTTTTTTTGGTTTGGTTTGGTTTTTCAAGGCAGTATTTCTCTGTGTAGTCTTAGCTGTTCTGGAATTCCCCTCTGTAGACCAGACCAAGCTGGCCTCAAACTGACAGATTTGCCTGCCACTCCCTCTGATGTGTTGACATTAAAGGTATGTGCTACCACTACCCAGACTCTCTATTATTCTTTAGAAACTACATTTTTCCCACTTCAGGCAACTTGTTATCTCATATCTTTCTCATATCTTTTCCAGAATTAACATAGAAATTAACAAATAACAAATATATAGTAGTATAATATACAAACATATATACTATACATACACACTATACACACATATACATTATATATACATACTATATGCACATGTATTTGTTATACATACACTATACACATTCACCGCACATACTACATATAAATACTATATATACACACATACATACTACTCATATGCACACACAATAACTATAAACTATACATACAATTTACATATATACTGCACATACACATATCATATATACATGTATGCACATATATAGACAATGATATGTACATACCTGTAACTTACATCTACATTGTATGCATATTTAACACATCTATACTACATACTTATACATATATGTGTACATACATAAATATACTACAGATTTACAGATATATAACATCCATACACATTTTCATACAATATTTATCACTACATACTTACAGATATACATTATATCTGTATTTATAATGATAGACACATATATGCAAACATAAACACAAAAGTCATATACTATGTATTCTCATATATACACTATATATCTATATCACATATGTACGCATTGTGGGTCTGGTGGTGTGCTAGTACACTTTTAACAACTGTCTTTCTAGAGCAGGAAGATGTTACCTAACTTGAGTTCCTAGGATACAGACTATGACCCCCAATTTGATAACTGGGGCCCTGACTTGCAGTACCTGGAAATTCCTGTGGTGGCCATAGTCTCATCACAGGTGATTTCAAGCTTCCATCATGAGGACTGTAGAATTGGAAAGAGGGGCCAGACAGAGAAGAGGAAGGAGACTAGTAGGAGCAGGTAGAGGAATGGGAGAATGAAGAAAAGCAACAAAAATTTTGTAAAGAAATGCCACAATGAAACATATTGCTTTGAATGCCAATTTTAAAAACTAATTTTTAAAAATGTAAATAGTCACTAAGGGCCAGTGTGATCAGGCTTCAGTTCAGCACTCATGATAACTCATGATAGGCACAAAATCCATTAGGGGTTTAAAGCCCCTAAATCCTTAGGGAAGGGAAAGTACAGGGACCTAGGTTAGGAAATATGGAGAACTGTAGAATTCTAGATGCTGTCCAGAGATCCAGAATAGAGTGTGGGAAAAACCTGGGTGTCTGGTCATCTGCTGATTTGGCACAGTCACAAAATCTAAATGGGCCTGGCAGCTATCAGTTACTTTTATTTTGGCATCATTCACCATGAAAGGGAGGAAAGAGATCAAAGGTATCTCAGGAAAACCAGTCTGCATTAATAGTTTCAAGCAAACATTCCTCAAATGATTAACCATAACTGCTGGCCAAGAGCAGGGTCAGGATTTCTTAGGCAAGGTGCTCAGGGATGCTACCACGGCCAAGATCTGAGAGACAGAACAGTTCCACACAGACCTCCAAAACCAGTTTTTTATACAGTCCATTACAAGCAAGTGACAACACAAGCGAAACGAGGGGGTTGATTTGGGGTCTCCCGGTCTCATCAGCACTGACGCTGTTTTCTCCAGGTCAATTCCAGACAGCAGCAACAATGCAGTTCCCACCCTAGAACAGTGATGGAATGGGGATAATTCCTCCAGAAGAAGAATGTTCCTACTTTTATATTAGTTTGCCACACCTTCCTACTAAATCACTGGAAATATTTGTCCATTTCTGTAGTTATGAAAACCTGAATTTCCATTCAAAAGATTTATGGTGTGTTTCTCCTGCTATTTATATGAATCCTTTTAGCCAATTTCTTTTTGATGTTTTGCTCATGGTGAGAATAGATATTTGACAAAATTTGCTAAGACCATTCACAAATGCCATAAGTCCTGTTACAAATTCATTTTTCAAGATAGAAAGCAGGATTCATTTCATAGGTTCTAACAGTGTCTAGGAGCCAGAAGCAGTAGTTCCTGTTTCCAGTCCCCTCTTTCCCATCATGCTCCACTCCTGCCAACAAAACCTATTCCAAGTAAGGGACATAGCATAGCCAGCAAGTAGTGACTACAGAGAGGGCCCTCCTCCTCGCTTTGCAAAGAAATCCTCAAGGCTGCATATCAGCATAAAAAAAGTCTTTTTTTCCCCCCAATGGATTCTCAGCTTTTGACAATTTAAAGAAAATCCTGAACATGTATTCCCAGACACGTTCATTTCCTGTCTGCTATCCCACTTCAGTCTGGGTCACCATTGCTGTCACCCTGTCCATCTCCTCACCTTAAGTAGATTTTATGCATTTACTCGTCTAATTCTTAAGACCCTTTGTGGTGACTTGTATAACAAAGTGTGCTCTTTTGTTCCCATTTACAGAGAAAGAATCACTGAAATTTCATATTCACATCTACTGTAGGCATGATTATCAAGTTATAAATCAGAGTTTCAGTGAGATCACAGGGCTCACCCAAACCCTCCATAGGCAAGCAGCCAAGTCATGCTTCGTGAGAGTCAGTAATTCCTGCTCATCTGTAGTAGCAAGCACAGGATGGAAGCAGAACAAAATCCCAGCAAATACAGACACCTGATTTTTGACAAAGATGCCAAAAATATAGAGAAATATTCAACAAACAGTACAGGAATAACTGTGAATCCACATGCAAAATAATGAAGCAAGATCTCTTATCTCTCCCCTTTTACTAAAGTGTGTTCCAAATGGATCAGACATCTTTGTAAGAAATGTAAGGCAGAGAAGAGACAGACTCCATGTCAATAAGCTGAGACTGCCTTACTGGAAGAGCAAGGAACCCCAGGCTTTCCTCAGGATGAAGGTTGATCACCTTTGCAGGAGCTGGGGGACATAAGGATATACATAGGTACCTACAGCTGTTTTTGTAGTTTAACTGGGAACAGGGTGAGTTGTTTTCAATACACAGACAGACATGTTGTTCCTGCAGACAGAGCTGCAGAGACGGTCAGGCTTTGACAAAGCAATTCTTTATGGCTTGGGGCTACTGCCAAATACACCCTGACTCAATTCCTCATGACCTGAGGCTATTAACCAACAATCAAAAGACCTAAAACTCATGTTAGAGGAAGAATTGTAGTTGGACTGTAAAATGAATTAGAAAAAAATAAAAATTAGGCTAAACATTTCAAGATACAGGAATAGGCAAGGACATTCTAAGAATAATTCCAGATACTCGGAAAATAATGCCAAGAATTAAAAAATAGAATTTCAAACTTTTAAAAGTTTGCATAGCAAAAAAAGAGTTGAATAAAAAAGACAAACTGAAGAATTGCTTTAAAAGAATTCCCAACCAATGCTGACCCAGCAACAAAGACTTTCTAAAAGCAAGATAATGGCAGAGTACAGTGGTTCATACCTGTCATGCCAGCATTAAGTAGGAGGACAACCAGGGCTACACAGCAAGCCCAACTAAACAAAACAAAATCAGACAATAGGCCAGCCTCATGTCAATAAGCACTCACCTGAAAGTCACTCTCTAGGGACCCCATTTCCACAGCATTCTGTTGGTTTCTGAACCTGCCTGCCCATTGATTCTTAATGTCTTTGCTTCCCTGAATCCAAATGAGGTCAGTGTTGTGTTCAAGGTTTTACTGTGTCTGGAGCTGTGTGTTCCCTTGCTAAACAAGCAGCCCGTTCCTGTTTTCATGTGATGGCTCTACAGTCTTCTTTTAGCTTTGGAATGCTAAGGTCCTTCTGTCTTCGGGGATCTTCTAATTCAGATGAAAGGAGGGCATAACCTCTGCTGTCAGCCCACCCTCAGTCAGGGTCTTACCTTGCTGGGGAGAAAATTGGCCCGAGAACAGTAACCACACATCTCTAACTGGTCAAAAATTGGGTGTTCCTGGCAGCAACCTGAGCTGTTGCTTTGATTTTGTTGCCAAGATGGCAGAGAACTTGCAGGCAAGGAGTTGGGCAGTATGCCCAAGACAACTATCTCTTTGTGACAAGTCATAAAGGGCACCGAAAGACAAGCTCCAGATAAAGGAATGGCACTTAGAAGCAGATACTGCTTCCAATAACTATCTTTGCTACCCCATAGACTCTCAGGCAGCTGGCAAGCTCACATAACTTTATCATTATTGGGCTGGAAGGCCCAGAAAGAAAGTGTATCTTCAGCTAAGCAGAGAGGCCTATTTATATCATAATACATGAGATATTCTCAGGGTTTGAGGGCACCAGCCAAATCACAAATCTTACTTGCTAGTTAAGGTTTATAGCAAGCAACAGTATCCTGATTAAGATGGATGCTAAAAAGAAATCCCACACTAGCTCAGAATTGAGTATAATAAAGGGTTTTTTATTTAGAGGTAGACTCACAGATCACAGTCCTCTGCTCAAAAGGGGAACAGCAACCAAATCCAGCAGCTGGAAGAGAGAGGGAGCACACACTTTACAGTGGTGTTTATAGTATAAGAGGCCATGTCCAAGTGGGCTGGTAACTTAAAGGCTACTGGCTGAAGGAGTTCCTATAGCACCTCCCCCTTTTGCTTAAATAAGAGAGTTCTAAGCCTAATACAAAATTATATACAATAAGAACAAATATTAAGTATAAAACTTAGAATTACAGCCAGTATAAACAATATAAACAAGAAGCACGTGATAAAAGTTTCTTATCCTAAGGAATCTAAGTTTTATATTATAAATAATTTGACCAAGTCATGAGAGGAAAGTAACTACAACTATCTAGTCTTTAACCCCATGGAAGACCCAAGAAGGGAAATAACATTACTTGAGTAAGCAGGAAGTGCAATCAAGCAACTTCCAAAATGTGTAACAAATGACAGAGACAACTGGCTACCTGCGCAGTCACCCAAAGTCTCATTTGCAACACTGGAGCAATCAACTTTGGCTAAGGCCTAGAGTAGCTGACAGACCATTTTCAGAGAGGAAATTTTTCAAAACTGTCTTACCTGTCTTGGAAAGATGTGACAGTCTTTTTTCTTATATCCTGCTTGTCTTGTCCAGACATCCTGCATTTTGTCAGTGGTCAATGCATGGGTAGTTCCTTGCACAAAGGCTAGTTTTGCCAAGAAGAAAAGGAGCTCCAAGTGGAGTGTCTTCAGTGCTCAACATTTTCTTGGGAATAGATCAGTGCTGCCAGGAGTAATCATGTCTCACTTCAATAGAACCCTTAGTTATTTAAATGCCATATTCTACAGGTCTTTGAACTGGTTGAAGATTACCTATCTATGCAGAATACAATCTCTATGTGTCTAAAGAACCTGATAATTCTGAGTATTACAAACATGGATGACTATTGATCTATAATTCTTAATACCTATATAGCTTAAAGACCAAGACTTTATATTAGAATACTAAACAATCTTTAAACAACTGTGCAACAAATGAGGACAATGACCTCAAAATATAAACAATGTATAAGTATCTTGAAAAGAGGTCAAAATGTATAGTGTAATATAATAAATATATCCTAAAATTATATTAATATGCAAAATGTCTTAAGCACAGGTAGATGTATGTATACAATATGATAAAATAACTTTGTCTAGGTGTACAAATACTGTAGACAGAAATAGGAACATATTCAATACAATTTGAATTTATATCAATATACAAGAATCTATACCAATATAAAATGCCTATAAATAATAGCTCACAAGTACTCACTCTATTACTCACTATTATTATTAGTGTGAGTAAGCTCACACTAATCTATTATCCCATCCAATTTCCCTTTATATATTTTTAAAGAGATCCCTGAGTCTACATAATTTCCACCCCAATTCCCAACCCAATACCGATTATAATCAATTCCTAATTGATGTCCCTAACCCCGAGGACAAACTTTGTTGGGAGAGGGGATGTCATCTTCTAGAATTACTTCCAGCTGTCCAGCTGTCATGAATGTTAAGTTTCAAGATTACTGTCTGGTATAATTGCAAATAATCTCTGAATATTTGGGTTTTTCTGAGAATTCTATTTGGAATTCTGGCCAGAACGTTGTAAAAAAAGTATACCATTTCAGCTAACCAAGTTGGAACCATCTTTAACAGCTGGTACCCAAAACTGGTCTTATAGTAGCGCTATCAGCATCATGATGTCATATCAACCAGGTGGAGTTGCTGTTGTGGGGCCCCATCTTCTTCCTGGAAACCTCAAAGATTATTGCAGGAAAAAAAATCATTGCTCATTGTGGGAAACTTAAACATTATTTATACAGACATATATTTAATGTCATGTATGAGAGAGACAAAAATAGGTATGTAGAAAAGTAAATTTCTTTTCTAAATTCTTTCTTCTTTCTGTCCCATACCATGGCTCCAGACATGAGACAGAAACTCTGAATATTTTTTTTAAGAACAAGCTTGGATTCAGAGAAGGTCAGGGCCATTGTCCAACTCCAAAGCCAGCTTTGATTTTTACGTGAGTCATGACTATTATTCTAGTTTATATTCAGAGATTCTTACCCTCAGATGACATGTTCTCATAAGTCATAATTCTCTTTGCTTGGTGATCCTATCTGGATAATTATCTTTTCCTCTTTAGGCATCTAGATGTCCAGGATCTTTTAACTTTTTGAAGATGAGTATTTTCTTGCAAAGACAAGAACAAAACCCTGTCCCAACCCTTAAGAGGTTTCCTTACCACCTGTGTTGTCACCTCTGTGGATGAGCCATCATTTCTCTTTATCAACAGGTTTCTTTTTTTTCAAGCCAAATTTTTATTAATTTTGATGGTATCCATAGCTTTTCTTATCCTGTGGAAACAAGAATGAAACCCCTTCTCTAATGTAGCACATTTCCTGGTTTCCACTGTGAGGTCAACAGATCCTTGAAATACACAGGCTGATTTAATTCAGAAGACCTTTATATTATTCAATGTCTCTTTGTTGCTCTTGTTCTTTTCTCATTAGCATTAAGAAAATTTAAGGTTAATAAAGCATTATGTAATCTATTTCTAGGGGTATTTTCCATCCCCTTTTGTTTGTTTAATATAGTCTTTATAGTTTGATTTGATCTTTCTATAACTGCCTGACCTGTAGGATTGTTTGGTATACCTGTAATATGCTTTATATTATAATAAGCACAAAACTGTTTCATCATTTTCTTAGAGACATATGCTGGACCTTATCTGTCTTTATTTGTGCATGATGGCCATAAACTTCTAATAAATGTGTGATTACTGAATCAGTTTTTTCTGAGCTTAAAGCAGTGCCCACTGAAAGCCTGAATAAGTGTCAATGGTGTGACGTACATATTTTAATTTTCCAAAATCTGCCAAGTAGAACACATTCATCTGCCAGACTTCATTCCTCTGAGTACCTGTTGGGTTACTCCCAGCAGTCAGCAGTGTTTGGTTATAGGAAGAACAAGTAGGACATCTCTTTATAATCTCCTTAGCTTGTTGCCATGTAATAGAAAACTCTTTCTTTAAACCTTTGCTATTGACACGATGTTTCCTATGAAATTCTGAGGCCTTAAGCACACTTCTAATCAATAATTGATCAATTTCTGTATTATCTTGTGCTAGAGGACCTGGCAGACCCGTATGGGATAGGATGAGTGTTATGTGTATGAGACAAAGCCTATTCCTGATTATATCTGAACCTGTATGGATAATGAAGTCAATTCTATATCATCAGATATAAATTCAGCAGTTTCAAATGCAAGACAACTCTTTCTGCATATTGTGAATCAGTAACTATATTGGAAGGTTCTTTAAAATGCCTTAGTACCATGAGAAAAGCATATAATTCTCACTTGTGGACAGAATTATAAGGGCTTTGTTCCATCTTACTTAAGTCTTCTGATTTGTAACCTGCCTTTCCTGATTTATTTGCATCATTACAGAATGTACAGGCTCCAGTTATTGGTGTGTCATGTACAATGCAGGGAAGGATCCAAGTAGTTCTCTTTATAAAGTTAATTCTATCACTTTTGGTTTAATTTTTATTAATCTCTCCTAAAAAATTAGCACAAGCTCTTTGCCAAGGTTGTTTTTTCATAACTTTTTAATTTTATCAGTAGTAAAAGGCACTATTATCTCTGCTGGGTCTATTCCTGCTAGTTGACTCAATTCTCCATTTATGATTAATTCAGAGACCTTTTCCACATAAGTTTTTAATTTTTTTCTTTGTTTATGTGGTAAAAAGATCCATTCTAAGATAATATCTTCCCTTTGCATTAAAATTCCTGTAGGGGAAATTCTGGGAAGCAGTATGATTAGACTGCAATTAAGATTTGGATTCGCCCTATACACATGTGCCTCTTATAATTTTTCTTCAACGACAATCAATTCCTTTTCAGCTTCAGCTGTTAATTCCCTGGGACTATTTAGTCTTTGTCACCATCTAAGGTTTTGTTTAAATGAACTACTAGATCAGGTGTTATCTCAACAGTTGGTCATAGACTGGAAATGTCTCCGAACAATCTATGAAAACCATTAAGAATGCGCAATCGGTCTCTCCTAAATTATGCCTTTTGTGTCCTAATTTTCTGTAAACCTATTTTATAACCTAGGTAATTTACAGAATCTCCTCTTTGAATCTTTTCAGGAAAATTTGTAATCTCCATTTTGGCAAAACTTTCTTTACTTCTTCAAACATTCTTTCTAAGTATCTACATTTGAGTCAGAGAGCAAAACATCAGTGCCTTCTGTTAACAAAAAATACTGTTCTGGATGATGGAATAAACATGGAGACTAAATCAAAAATTCCAATAGGAAATAGGAAACGTATATTCTGGAAGACTTCTATAAATGATCAAAGACAAAAGCTAGGAGTAAGTATAATTGTG